GCCTCCCTCCCACCCGACCCCCTGCTGGTGGGCCAGGGAGCGTCGGACACCGGGGTCCCCGGGAGGAGTCCTGAGAGATCCTTCAGGGTCCCCCCCCGGGGCCTGAGTGGTACGTCCCGGGGCGGGGTTCCGGGCCAACCGCTCCCGCTGCGCAGGAAGGAGCGGGGTGGGGGGGGGGGGTGACTCAGGCTGGGCTGGGAGGGGCTGGCTGTTTGTTTTTCATTTTTATTCATTGATCTGGCGGGGGCAGAGAGGGAACCTCGCTTTGCCCCACTTTTGAATACATCCGTTGGTTGACGCTTGTATGTGCCCTGACCTGGTATTGAACCCATGACCTTGGCGCGTATGGATGACCTCTAACCAGCTGAGCCATTGGGAGGGTGGGCTCTTGGGCTCCTCTCTTCCCAGGAGGGGGCGGGAGGCACACGGGGGGCGGGGGACCCCCCCCACCGGGAAGCCGAGGTTCCCAAGAACCGGCCAGCCCCCCTCCCGGTGACACCTGGGCCCCTTGCAGCCCCTGTTTCTGTGCCTCCAGCTCTCGGGCGAGGGGGGTCCCGGAAAGTATGGGGGCATAGACCGGGAGGAGGCGGGGGGGGGGGGGGGGCGGGGGGCCCCGCTCTCTGAGCCCCAGTTTCCTCGTCTGGAAGAGGGGTGCTATTGCCTCCAGTGACTACACAGCCGACCTGCCTGCAGCCCCAGTTCTGGGGATACAGAGCTGACAAAGCAGACACAGTCCCTGCCCTGGGAGAGTTTGGCCCGTGGCAATGAGGAGAGAGAAACCCTGGAAATGGCACTTCTCTCCTGGGGTTGACGTGCGTGTCCAATGGGTTCAGAGACGCAGGAGGAACTGGAACCGGGTTGGGCGCCTGGGGACAGCTCCGCAGAGGTGGACTCTGCTGGGGGAGCCTTCCCTCCCCAGTTCCCGCCTGCGCCCCCCTGGTCCCCACCTGCTGTGTCCCTCACCTCCCAGGGCAGGTGGCAGAACACTTTCCAGGGCACCTGCACCTCTGATGCTGTGCGACCTCTGACCCTGGTGGGCTTGGAAAGATGTGACTGCCCCTGGTGTAGAGCACTTAAGGCAGGGCTGGCTGGCGGTTGTGTCCTGGGCACAGTCTCCTTCAGTGGCGTCCGGGGCCCTCCCCTGGGAACAAAGCCCCAAACCTGAGCACTGTCTGCCCCTGCCTGGTGGTGTCGGTCCCTTCCTGCTCCTCCTCCCAGAGCCCAAGCCACGCGGAAACCCTGCGGTCTCATCAGGGACCTCGCCCGTTTTTCTGCCTCTGGGCCTTTGCACATGCTGTTCCTACCCTCTCCTGTTTGGTTCTTGCTCATCCTCCAAGTCATCAGCTCC